CCCTTTCATACCTGAATGCAGGTTATGATGGTGAACGGCGATCACCGAATCGGAATCTTCGCAAAACGCGCCATTGCTCCAGGCGAAGAGCTTTTCTTTGACTATCGATACGGTCCCACAGAACAGCTTAAATATGTGGGCATTGAACGCGACACCGACGCACCTGGAAAGTCGTTACCCATTCCTCTGGAATTGCAAAGTTTCATTGCGCAGTCAACGGACATGATAAAGACAGGAACATCCAGCGTCTGATATCTGTGGAACCGATTCCAGTATGTACTAATCCACGAATTATTGATTTTTGTTTGTATTTAACTCATGGGTTAACCGTTGACATTTTGCACCAACATTCCCAGACTATCTTAACTTATTGTCACATAGAATCCTTAAGGTATACGTGGATAACCACATGTCACTAACCCGCAACCCATGAGGTAGAAACAGAAGCGATGTAATAACGCGCTAACTTTGAACCCGAGGCACAACTAAGTTTCAAAAGTCGAAAAAATCGCGGTTTTCCATTAGTCAGAAAGCGCGATGTTTCCAAAAGTTGAATGAAGTTGCACATCAGATTGACTACTTAAGTACTCTCCTATTGCGATGCACAGTGCAATGGTCCCAGACTGTTACAATAATCAGAGTTAATCGAAAGGTGGGCCACTGAGTGTGCCTAAATGCAGCAATATGCCTGTTTGCCAGAAACAAACTGGAATTTGGTATGAAAAAAATTTCTAGGAGGAGTTCTACTCCAGCCTTTGGTGGATTGAACGAGTCATTCTGATGAGAAATTTTTAGTGGTAGGACAGTTCATATCGAATCCTACACTTCCTAATCCGTTGCTGCCATGTATTCTCATGTTTCAGTTCAACTGTGTCCCCTGGCCCGTCTTCTCTCCTGCTGCGCGCGTTTAACTTGTCCGAGATTCACCTGTTCCTCATCACTATCGTGTCCAGATAATTCGAGCAATATGTTACACCACTCTACTCACTTGAATCCGTGTCCCTGTTCACGTTTCTGGTTTGCCAGATTCCGCCACTGATTCTCTCTTCTCAGTCGTTCCTGTTCTAATACCACAGACAATTTTCATCATTCATTTACGGCAAGTAACAAATTCACCACTTGTCGGTCCAGTGCTCCTTGATTCTTTTATACTGTTACTGTAAATTTATCTGTATGCATCAAAGGTCGAACTGTACAATTTGGCCATGCTTTCAGTAGTTATCCCATCCGAATTACCCTCGTTCCTTCATTTTCTTTTTGATTTCCGATTCAAGATTTAAACGTCCTGTTGGGTTTAACCACTCAATTATTATATCGAAAGGGGTTCGAGTATTCGGTTCAAATGCGATTAGTTCATTGTTGTGATTCACGAGTTGTGGATTTCTTCAGTGTGTAAGCCGTTCATATGCGTCTCTGATCGGAAGTCCAAAGCGTCATACAAAGTTTTTCTCTATGACTGATCACTGGATACCGTTTTAGAAACACGGAGCTGTATTTTCGAAAGTCCGTGTATAGGCACGATTGAATCAAATTATTTCATTTTCTTTTGAGGTGAATAACCCCTGTCTGGCCTAATCGACGTCTCTGGTTATTGCCTTGAAATCAAGGCGATCCACGGGTTCCTCTTGGTAGATTTTATTCCAAAACAGTACCAGATCTAAATTTGGAACGAATGTCCTTGAATGAATGGTGCGTCGTGTTCATAATATTAGATCCACACAGGAATGTTAGGATCGGCTCCAACGAGAGAAAACCACAAAAGTTGCGGTTGACAACATCCTTAGCTCTTTGACCTCTTGTTTCATTCACAACTTCCAATCTCTCATTTATTATCACAAACACACCAACTCAATTTTTCTTTCCCCTAGACCAATCAAAGGATCTTCATTTTATACGGTTTCTTTCAGTTTTTACTTAATGTTGCTATTGACTTGAAAAAAGGCCTAATGACATCAACCGAAACATACTTGTTTTTTTCTCTCGTGGCTAATCCAAACATTCCTTTACAATTCTAAGACCGGAGGGACAAATCTCAAATTCATTGAGTTATGATACGTTCTTGTGTGCAATATCGTGTCGGTCTTTTTAAAAGTTACTGTTTTGATTTTATTGGAAAAATAATCACGCCACATGATTTGCTCCGGTTCGGTCCGATTAACTCAGCACCCATGTGACGCAATGCGTAGGTGACCTTGGAATGTACTTTGCCCGTCACTTTGACATACTTTATTGTTATTGTTCACAGATTGCCTCGTCCCATTCATTTGTGCGGCATCTACCGTTATCGTCCTTGAACTTTCGCTGTTCCATGCTTATCAATCTTTTGCGTCATTACCCACGAACTTTCCTGGATCTGTTTTCCACCCGCGTTTACTTCTGCGTCATCTTCATCCCGTCCACTTTATGTTGACCTTCATAGTTGATCGTTTGATTCATTTGCCTAGCGAATAGCTTGGTTCCATAGGATCCCGTAAACCGTTTGTGTGCCTTGTATTGACCTGCGGTTCGTTAGCGAGCACTTGCGATTGGTGATTGGTACATAGTTTGCATTCCTTTTAGTGACCGCTCCGCATATGCTTTGTTCCGCGCCTTGACCCTCTTTGTATCTTGTACTATAGAGACCGGATTGGTCTACAATAGTGCTTATTTTTGTACATATTTGCCTGCTTATGGTATACGCAGATTAACGACTTCTCGGTATCTGAAATCGGACTTAGGGTTCATATCCATGAGTCACTCAATCACTGGACGACAGTTCGGTACAGTTAGATTCCGGGCATATGCCCCTTAGAAATTGTTTTCCTTTCGACCTGAGCCAGTGGTATGCTTGAATTCTAACCGCTTAGCCACTAGTTCCTTAATCCCAATGTCGATCGCTACTCGACGCCCATAGATCCCTCATCAGGTTGTCATCTCCCGAACTGTTGTCACACTATATCGCATACACGTATGAGTCCAGACTGTGTGCTACATAACGTGCTAAAATGAACTCGATGATTATGCTAGCCCAAATTTCCTTACTGTGTCTTAGTCCCATGATCTGTTGCATTTTAATTGGCAAAATCATGGTCGTCAGCAATCCGTTCTGATAGCTATCGACTGTGTGCAATAGGTCAAACGTACCGCCGACTTCCCCTAGCCATTGTTCCTTTTTTCATGCATACATGGATTCCGACCGGCGAATACTGCATATCTTTTCTGGTTTAACGGTGGTAGGATGTTAACTTAGGT